GCTTTGCACAGTACAGTCAAATATAACTCCCGAATATTATTCAGACGCGAAATTTTTCAGATTCGTAGAATACTCTGGCATATTTTCAAGATAAGGTCAACAGCTGAAACTTACAAGTTAATGTAGCATAAATAAAATTGAATTATCGCCTCTAACGAGACAAATATGAAATATTCTTTTCAGGCCAAAGTAACGATGTTGCGTCTAGGGTCTCCATAAGTATAAATACGACCCTGTTTGCAATTATACCCGCGCAAAGACAAAATGGCGTTAACCGCTTAACAAATCAAACTTAACCTCTTTGTGCAAAAAGTAACGCAAAGTGTAATCCTATCGAACAGTAAATTGAACCTTTTTATGCGTAAAATGTAACAAAATGTAATCCTATGAAATAGTTTCACAATGAATTATACCGGTCAGTGTGACTTGGGCAATAAAATCGTTGAAAAATTCGCCCGTTATAGCGTTCGTTGCTCGAACATACGTTTGTTCCAGACCTAAGACGGTCAATGACTCACACATTACGAGATTACCGTGAATACACTTTAAGTGTCTCTCTCACACGGTTGATGCGCGTATACTCGTGAGAATTTCTGAGCACGCCGAGAAATCGTAATTCTCGCAGGCCCTACAACCGGGCCTTTCGTGTAATTTCTCGGTCGGTCTGCACAGTCGCACGCCATTTGCCTGGAGCGAGGCGAAAAGAGGCTCGCGTCCTCCTAAAACCCTAACTAAAATCGCTTTCTTCCTTTCTTCGATGTTATATCGAATACGCTTTTTCAAATTTCGTAACAACGTTCGCTCGAAACGAAATGTTATTACTTCGTCGTTGGTTAATTCGTTGGGTTCATTCGACGTTCTTCGGGGTAATTCACGTCGATAAAATCTATAAATCGATTCTTACGGAGGTTAAGATGGTTTAACCATTACCCTAATTTTTTTTCTGCCGAATGCAAATGATTATTATTGATCGTCGAAAGAAAAACTAATTTCACAATGGTTTCCCCTGTTACATAAAACATCGTGCTCGATAAAATCGTCTTTCGTATATTGGACGTTGATGAATAAAACAGTTTATTTAGAGGTTAGGACTTAAATTACGGTTCACGCAGGTCGGCGATTCTTAGCTGATTGCTAAAATTCTACGGCACACAGAAAACTATATCGTACTTTTTCTGACAAAAAAGTATGCACTTTTGACTGATTTAGAAAAAAATTGTTTAAGTTGTATTGAAAAAGTTTGGACACACCTATAGACCTCTGGCGGCGAACTGGTTGAAAATCGGTGACGTATAGTCGGGGCCACGATATAGCGAGGTCGTAAAATCGGTTAGGCGTCAAAGTAAACATGTTTTAGCTGCCGGGACCCCGAAATTGACAGAAATACGAGCAGATAAGTACTTAAAACCATGGTCAGGACGAGCGAAAGTCAAACTGATTCTAATATATTTACTGAAAATTGAGTTCAGCTAGGACAATTTAGGGCTTTTTTCTTCTGGGAAAAGCCGCTTTTGGAAGTACGGTTACAAGTAAAGGTCTTATTGAGGTCTTTAACATCTTCATTTACCTGCTCGTGTTATATACAGATAGAAAATGCAAAAGGATTGTGTAGCTTTAATATTAACATATTTTCCATTTGTAAATGAAATACCATTTTCTACTTGAAGTACCAAATCATATGCTACCATTCGTTTATTGTTGGAACCCTCAAACAGACTGCAACACACGGCCTTGAGTGCCGCAACATCAATCGATGCCGATTCTTGAGAGTTTAATTTACGACCTCGCTATATCGTGGCCCCAACTATAAGTTATCAGACACTTAGTAGTTGCGTTATCAGCATCGGGCAAATGGGCACTTATCACGGGCTCCGCATTTATTGTTAGCTACTTCCACATTTGACAAAAAAAGTAAATGAATATACAGTAGTGCATACATAAGCGTCCGCAGTCGGGGAGGTGGCTTCTGCGAATTTAACTAAACGAAAGAGAGGAGATGTGTCTGAGTGGGATATCGATATATCCAGTTGTTCACATTCAGGTGTCGAACTCCACTCCGAAGTCTCATTTCCAAGAATCGGCGGGGACGGACGCTTAAGTGTGCAAAAATGCGGACGCTTATGCGTGCACTACTGTAATTGTAATAGCCGAGTCACCCAATTTTTTAACTAAATTTCTGTCTTTAACGTCACGTGAAAACGTACTTACCTTTAGTTCTATACTTTTAGTCACATGGTTATTTATGGTTTTCCTGTTATGATCAACATCGTCCTTCCTTAGTTTCCAGAGCTACGTAAGATAATACCCGTGGTGCGCGTAACGTTTTTTTACAAGCGACGAGATTTCACCGATGTTCGTAGTACTGTACTAACCGTGTGAACGCGGTAACTACCTTGCCAATGTCGTTATCCTCTGAAGGTACTTCTTCCTTTTGTTCGAGCAAAATGTTAACGAAGTGTGAAACTTATCGTGAAGAGGTTCGATATATACACTATTATTAGTGCCACTATTCTAGTACCAGAAATTAGTCCCGTGCCTTAATTGGCTACCATTTTGGTACCACGCAACGCTGTCAGTTGGTATTTGACAATTGTGGAATAGACCAACTCCAGAAGTGGTAGCATTGAGCTATTTAGATTGCTAGACCTGGACAGTCACCGATTTTTTTCTTGAAAATTTCTTAAAGGATAAGGTCTACGCTAATCGACCAACAACAATTCGACAACTTAAAGAGAATATTCGCCAAGAAATTAACAACATTAACGCAGACACCTTCACAAATGTCATGCAGAATGACAATCATTTGAAGTCGGAAAGTTTCAATTCGAATTTCCAAGTACATACCGTCAACTTCATCTTTATAACTTTCCCATCACATTTCAGATAAATAATTGTGCGTCTATGATGCCTCGTTAAAATTTTAGGTGCCTGAAGTGCTACAAATTTGGCACTTTTTCAACATCCTCCTTTATGTCGCGGATAGAAGCGGCCATCTGGACGATGTTGTTTTCCATGTTTAACTCTCAAATTTCGATGATTA